AGGCCAGGTGTGGTGGCTCACGCCTGTAATCCCTTTGGGAGGCTGAAGCAGGCGGATTATGAGGTCAAGAGATCGAGACTATCCTGGCCAACATGGTGAAACCCCATCTCCACTAAAAATACAAAAATTAGCTAGGCGTGGTGGCAGGCGCCTGTAATCCCAGCTACTTGGGAGGCCGAGGCAGGAGAATCGCTTGAACCCGGGAGGCGGAGGTTGCAGTGAGCTGAGATTGCACCACTGTTCTCCAGTCTGGGCAACAGAGCAAGACTTTGTCTCAAAAAAAACAAAAAACCAAAAAAACCAAAAATTTTAACCTAAATGATAATTAAAATGCCAAGTGTCAAAATTTGTGAAGAGCGGATAAAGTTGTACTTAGAAATTTATATCTTTGAATGTTGACACTAGAAGGAAAAAAAGGTTAAAAAACAGTGATCTAAGTTTCCACCTAATAATATGAGCAAACTAAATCCACAATAAGTAGAAAGAGGAAATAACAAAGAACAGAAAACAATGAAATAGAAACAAACATTAAAGAAAATTGCCAAAGCCAACATGACCAAGTTTATCCCAAAACTGCAATGTTGATTTCCTACTGGAAAAAGCAATGTAATCTACCACAGAACAGTTCATAAAGGGAGAAGCTATATGATTATCTCAATAATTACCAGAAAAAAACAAAAAGCATGTGACAAAATTTGTCCCCATTCAGGATAAAAACCCTCAGGAAACCAGAAACCAAAGGGAGCTTTCTCAGTCTGATAAAGGGACCTATAAAAAAATGTAAAGTTAACATCATACTTAATGGTCAAGGACTGGTCCTAAGATCAGGAACAAACAGCAAGGAGGTGCGCTATCTCACTTTTGCTCAGCCTGGAACTGGATGTCCTCACCAGAGCAATAAGGGGGAAAAAATACATAAATGATACAAAACTACAACAACAAAAATTGTTCCTATTTATAGTTAATACATTGCTAACATAAAAAATTGAAAGGGAGGAAACCCTACTAGAATAAACAAGTTTAGCTAGGTCTCAGAAGACAAAGTTAATATACAAAAATTATTTTTACATACTAGCAGTGTATTTTTACATACTAGCAGCAAACAATTGGAAAACTTTAACCATAATTCCACTAACAACGGCATCAAAAAATAAAAGACTCAGGAAAACATTTAACAAAAAACATGCAAGATCCGGTTGGGCACGGCGGCTCATGCCTGTAAGCCTGGCACTTTGGGAGGTCGAGGCAGGAGGATCGCCTGAGACCAGGAGTTCGAGACCTGCCTGGACTCTGTCTCTACAAAAAATAAAAAATTAGCCAGGTGTGGTGGCACATACCTGTAGTCCCAGCTACTTGGGAGATTAAGGCAGAAGGATCATTTGAGCCCAGGAGTTCAAGCCTGCTGTGAACTATGATTCTGCCACTGCACTCCAGCCTGAGTGACAGAGCAAGACTCTGTCTCAAAACAAAAACAAAAACAAAAAAAGAGAAAAGAAAATGGAAGAAAAAATGCAAGATCTATACATTGCTGAGAGAAATCATGCATCACCTCAATAAATGGAGAAACATGTATTATGTTCATGGATTGAAAGACTTGATACCGTTCGATGTCAATTATCTCCAAATGATCTATAGAGTAAATGCAGTCTGAATCATAAATCCATCAGGATTTTTTGAAGAAACTGAGAAGCTGACTCTAAAATTTATATTGATCTGTCTTTGAGCCTCCCCCTGCTAATAAATACATAAATTTATATGGAAATATAAAAGCCTTCAAATAGTCAAAATCATTTTGAAAAGGAAGAACAAAGCAGGAAGGCTTACAATACTGTCTGATTTAAATATTTATTACTGAGGTACATATGGCAACTGAATACCCATATGGGGCAAAAAAAAAAAAAGGATCTTGATCCCCTATCTCACATCATATATAAAAATTAATTTGAGATGAATCATAATCCTAAAAGTGAAGGCTTCTAGAACACATGAGAATATTTTTATGACCTGGGGTATTTAAAGATATCTTAGAAAGGACATCTGTTGGTGAGGATATACAGCAACCATAACTAATATTTTGTTGATGGGGGTGTAAAATGGTACAGTATTTTGGAGAAAGGGTTAGTATTTTTTCTAAACATTCACCTACCCTTTCACTCAGTAATTTCACCCCTAGGTATTTATCCAAGAACAATGAAAACATATATCCACAAAAATTACGTACAAGAATATTGACAGCAGCTTTATTTATAATAGCTAAAATCTCGAAGCAACCAAAATACCCATCTTTGCACAAGATAACGGAAAAACAAATTGTGATATAGGTATTCAGTGGAATACTCAGCAATTCAAAGGAATAAATTACTATCACATACAACACAAATCTCACAGACATAATGCTGAGCAAATGCCAAATACAGAGGAGTACATACCATATAATTCCATTCATATACACGAAGCTCTAGAATTGGCCAAACTAATCTAGTATTTAAAAAAAAATTAGAAAACTAGTTGCCTGAGGTGGACAGGTGACTGGCACAGGACAGGAGGGAACGTTCTGGAGATGTGGGAATGTTCTACGTTGTGATGGGTTGTATGCTTTATGTGAATGTGCATGGATACATTTGAGGCATTTCAATATATGTAAATTTTACCAAAAAACTTTTCAAAAGAACAGTAACTCAAGTAGGGGGTTGGGGAATGGCTGAAAGTATATGAAACAAGAATGGCAGAACCTTCAAGCTAGGTGTTAAAGCTAGGTGATGGGTCCATGGGGGTTCATTACATTATTCTGATGTTGTTTGTACCGGCATAATAAAAGGTAAAAACAAAACTTCCAAGTTTTAGTTGTGAACAAGTTAAAACGTAAACTGTTTTGGAGCTCTCCACTACCACCAAAAACAAAAAAGTTACTGTAATTCCCAGAAGCATTGAACAGAGGTGTAGTCATTAGCATAACCACAGTGAACACTGTAGTTCCTGCCTATACTCTTGTGTCCACGTTAAAGCAAGGAGAATGGTGAGGACGACAGGGTACTTACATACTCTATGAGGAACCAGGGAAACGTATTAGGGACCAGGACTCTTTCTCTTATTTTAATCCAAATTAAAAGAGAGAAGTGCAGGGTTCTGTGGGAAACTTTTTTTTAAAGAATTGAGTCAAAGTGCAGTGTCATGATAAAAGCTGCAAAAAAGCTATAAACTCCGAAGTTAATATTTTGGCTCACTTGGTTATGAAGAGTATGCATGTAACATTTTGGGAAATTACCATAAAAATGAGTGTCTTTAGATTTCTGGACTGAACTGAACGTGTGTGTATCAGCATGCAGCCCTGCCCCCAGGTACTCTCCCTCCTTTTCTCAAGGAATATGGATTATCGTGGACCCACCTCTGACCTAAATACTGTGAAGGAATCAAAGTATGAAACACAAACCTCATCCCACGGAACCTTACAATTTAACTGCAAAGGCAAGATACGCCTAAAAAAATAAGCCATTACCACATAGCAGTACTTGGTTAAATGCCAGGAGGGAGTACAGATACGATGTACTTTTTAATGAAAAGAATATTCCGCTGTGGGAGTTTCGGCAGGCTGCCTTGAGGTTGGGGAACTTGAAATGAGGCAAAGTATTTAAGCAGGGAGAAAAATGGGACGGGAGGCCGGCAGGCACTTCCAGAGCAGAAGAATCGGGTAAAGCAAACAGAGTGACGACACAACGTGAAAAGAAACCTGAAGTTTGTCTCCAGTGAGCCCCCAACATCCCCCCAACGCCTCTGTCTGGCTCTCCGTTCACTATCTTCCCGAAACTTCAGGTCAGCGGTTCCTAAAGTGGTCCCCGGACAAGCATACATCACCAACCAGCTGGGAACGTAAACTGTCAATCTGGGGACTCATCCCAGACCCACTGAGTCACTAAGTGGGGGACTGGGGGCGGCAATCTGTGTTGGACCGTGTGCGTCGGGTGACTGTGATGCACGCTCAAGTTTGAAAAGCACTTCTCCAGGGCTACTGCTAAGCACAACCCTCCGCACAGAAGTGATACTGTTCTGAGCGCCTAACAGCCAACTTGCAGGGTGTAGGGAGCTGAGAGCGGGTCCCAGGCCTGTAAGAGTTCAGGCTCTGCCCCGATTTCGCTTTCTCATCCAGGACACCTTCTCCCAGTCACTACCTCCTACGCCTGCTCCTTCTGGACGACTTTACCCTGACAGGGCCCGCTCCCGCCCCTGTCGCCCTACCTCAGTGTCAGAGGGGACGTGGTGCCGGCAGGGAGGGGAACTGCCCAAGGAGACGGGAGTAGATGTGGCGCTGGCCCGGAGCCCGCCCAACAGGAGTAAAACGCTTCGGACCCACATAGACCCGCTCCAGCGCCACCGGCTCCGGCCCGGGCCTGAGCCTGAGCAACCCGCTCCTCCTCCCCACTCGGCCGCCATCTTCGGGCCGAGCGTCGTTACCATGGAGCGCGTGACGCCTCTGCGCCCGCGCCGGCCCCGCCCCTCGCCGCTCGGGGCAGACGGAGGCCCCCGCCGGCGGAAAGGTGCTTTCCGATTGGACAGCGTCGCCCGCTGGAAGTTCGCGGCAGAAGATGAGGGCGGCGATCACGTCCATCGCGTCTCGTTGCGCGAAGCCGGCCAATAAATGCCGTCTGGAGGCCCACGTGAGTGGGGCTGTGGGAGGAGGAAGGGCGCGCGGGCGTTGGCCGTGTGTGGGTGTCTGAGGCAGTTTTCCAGTTCTTTCGTTTACCAAAGTGATATGCACCTACTAGGTGCCAGGTGTTTAGACGGACATTCAACCCTCTGCAAAATCTTTCAGTGTAGTCCTCTGTAGGAAAAGGTGAGTGGAATACTTTCGTTTACTTATCCTCAGTCACCAATTTTAGGCGCTTTACTTGACTAAGGCCATTTCCTGTAAAAATCAATGATACACACTTTACTATTTTACTCAACTCCATCTTTTAGTTTCCAACCAAGAATTGCCACTGCACCTGAGATAAGGGAGATCCTGGGAGCCGTGAGGAACTACACAAAATGGGAAATTGGGACAAATTCCAGTGGCTCATGACACTAAGAAGTAAAACTACGAACTCAGACACTGAGCTGGAAGTCATGCAACGGGAATTGAATAGGTAAACCACTATACTGGGAAATGAAGGGGTAGGAACGAAGGAAAACTTCAAGTTACAGACTGGGTGGAGATTACGGACTCAGATATGAGGATGGGGTGGTGTCTTAAGTATTACCATTTTACAAGTGAATAGTCACTAAATAATGTGTGTATCATCCCACAACTAGTGGAAGGTGGGATTCCAAACCACATTTGTAACTTAGGAAACGTGCCCTTTCCACTACAGTACCACAAATAAACTGCTGTTGTGAATAAAGAGTGGAACCAGTCATCCTAAGCTCCTGGCTGTTACAATAGTGTTTGTTACGCTGAGGAAAGGCTGTTTCTTTTTTTTTATTTTTGAGACTGAGTTTCACTCGTCGCCCAGGCTGGAGTGCAGTGGCGCAATCTCGGCTCACTGCAACCTCTGCCTCCCGGGTTCAAGCGATTCTCCTGCCTCCGCCTCCCGAGTAGCCGGGATTACAGGCGCCTGCCACCACTCCCGACTTTTTGTGTTTTTAGTAGAGACATAGTTTCACCACGTTGGCCAGGCTGGTCTCAACTTCATGACCTCAGGTGATCCGCCCGCCTCCGCCTCCCAAAGTGTTTGGGATTACAGCCATGAGCCAAAGCTGTTTCAATGGCATAGTGAACAAATACCAGCCACGCAAGCCCTTTCCTGTAAACCACGGGACTTTGGCAACGGTGACTTAAGTACTTTTGACTTAATTTCGGTATGGGAGCAGAAACAATTATAAATTTATTATTTACAAATGCTGCATCATCTGGGTAAGGAAGAGCATGTATTTGCTCGAGTCTCATTTGCCATTGCACATGTAAGTTACTCGAGTTACCCTAAGGTCTCAACCTTTTGTTTTCCCCGCTTTGCTCAGATGCCTACCACTTACTGTGTAAGCACCTCCATTCCTCTCATCTATTCTACTCAGAATACCATTCACTTCTCCAAATGCCTAACTCAGACCTGAAATACCCATCGGTCTTCATGGATATGTCGATTAACATCTCACCGCTTCCTCAAATTCAACTTTTGCTCCTCCCACAAAACCATCCCCTGGTTCCCGAACTTTGTAAATGCACCATTACCCATCCAGCCCCCATAGCCAGAAACATGTTAGAATGTTAGCCATTTGAGACTGAAAAGCCCACCTGATTTTCCCTTGTTTATACTGGGCTGCCACTGGGATGTAAAATATTAATCTGAGCTGGACATGGTGGCTTACATCTGTAATCCCAGTACTTTAGGAGAACAAGGCAGGGAGGCAGGGGGATCACTTGAGGCCAGGAATTAAGAGACCAGCCTGGGACCCCGAAAAAAAAATTTAATTAACTGGACGTGGGTGGCATGCACATGTAGTCCCAGATTCTCTGGAGGTTGTGGGCAGAGGATTGCCTGAGCCCAGGAGTTCAAGGGTGCAGTTAACTATGATCACACCACTGCAGGCTGGGCAACAGAAACCCTGTCTCAAATGAGTAAATTTTAAAATTTCCTGTGAATCAAGTTCTTCAGTGACATTGTTACTACACACAAGAACAATCTTAAGATCCTCAGTACAAGAGACGTCTTATGTGGCATTTCTGAGTTTTCTGGACTTTCCAGTCAGCTACTTGTATTCCTAAAATCTTCCTGCCATTTCCTCTGAGATGCCTCCGTATTTCTTCTACACTTTATAGTTTTATGTTATGTAGTCAGGATACCCACATGCCTTTATCCCTAAATACCCCAAGAGTACTGATCACATCTATTTAACTGGCACAATGAACACAATAGGTACTTTTAGCTTATATTGGCCTTTTGGAGTGGGTGTCCAGGATCAGCACTTCCTCCCGCTGACTGCGTAATTCCCAAGTTCAATTTCATCAGCATTCTAATATACAACTTCCAACTTTTGACCATGAAAAAGTATGGCTTACTTCTGGTGAATACAGCATCAATGCACTTTGTTTGCCTTAAAACCACAATCCTAATAAATGAGCCTGGCAGAGCATTAATAAAAGCCCCTGTCCATGAAACACGGGACTCCAACAATGGCAACTTTGGCCTACGTTCCACCATTGGACTGACCGAACCTTTCTTAGGACTGCCGATGTGACAGAGGGACCTCTGGGAGAGGACTTCTTGTTTTCTCTTGCGTCAGTATATCTCATTACCCTCTTAGTAGGTTAGCAGATTTGTAACAGGATGGTTACTAGAGGAAGGGGAAGCGGAAAAGCTGGGACAGTATTCCTACTCTTTTCCCTTACTACATTTTCCTTCTCAGTCCTGCCTCCAGATGAAAGACCAAATAACACAACAGCCAATGTGCTCTTCCCACCTAGTCCTTTCTTTCACCCTCGTTCCCTAATACATTTCCAGCATGTTAATTCTTTTGCGGCATAGACAAGAGAACCCATACATGTTTCAAAACTGCAAAAGGGATTGGGGGCAAACTCCCAGTTTCTTGTTGACATTTTTCAGTGCAATTTAAAGATCTGTTAATTTAAAAAACTACCTGTGCTTTAGACATCAATAACCCTCATTAGGGGGGTGGCGGGGGAAGGACTGTTACTGCATCAATTAGAAATCTACAACCTGGGCAACATAGTGAGGCCCATCTCCACAAATAACTAAAGTTAACTGGGTGTGGATGCAAATGCCTGTGGCCCCAGCTATTCAGGAGGCTGAGGCAGGTTTGCCCGAGCCCAGGAGGTGGAGGTTGCAGTAAGCTGTAATCATGCCACTGCAGTCCAGCCCGACCAACAAAACAAGATCTCAAAAAAAAAAAAAAAAAAAAACTACACCATACTGCAAAACTGATGCCTTAGCTGTTTTATTTTAGCATATTCCCAAGAAATCTAAAATATTTGGGAGAGCTACTTACTTCCTTAAAGTGCAATCTTACACTATACCAGATTAAAACATGAAGCCAAAGAAAGCCGCCACCTTTCCGTGCACTATTCCCAACCTCCACATATCTACTATAGGACTGCTTTTTATGAGTGGAGTAATATGGCTCAATTCTATTTTAATATACTGGAATGCTTTGTCTAGTCACAATTCCCAAGAGCTTCTCATCCCAGTCTATCCAAATGAACTGCCAAAGCCCATCAATATAATCTCCATATTTTAAGTTTCCCAATCTGTACTGAACAAATGCATAGTATTACAAAGCATTTGGCAGGGTGTGGTGGCTCACACCTCTAATCCCAGCACTTCAGGAGGCCAAGGAGGGAGGACCCCTTGAGCCCAGGAGTTTGAAGCCAGCATGGGCAAGAGTCAGACCCCCCTCTACAAAAAATTTAAAAATGAGCCAGACATGGTGGCATGAACCTGCAGTCCCAGCTACTTCAAAGGCCAAGGGAGGATTGCTTGAGCCTCTGAATGTGAGGCTGCAGTGAGCACCGCTACACTCCAGCATGGGCAACAGAGCAAGACTCTGTCAAAGATACTCGAATTAAAACCCGCTCCCTTCTAAATCTCTGAACTCGCCCCGTAATTTTCGTCACGTCTCTGATCTCCTTGTACTCCAAAAATGCCGGGAAACCTCCATCATTTTAAGCATGTAGCAAATCAATTTAAGGTAGTAAGTTCTTTAATCCACTTAACAAAAATACAAGAGCACAAATCCACGTTTATTTATTGATTTTTTGTTAGTTTAAATCCTTGAGGGGTACAGCATCTGTGGGGAAAAAAGAACACAAAACATTAGGTGAATGTTACATATAAGTCTACAAATCAAGAAGCGTAATATGGATATATCTCTGAAAGGCAACCAATTATATGTTCTAGTAGAAAGGAAAGTTTTTACAGCCTTCAGTCTCTATGTGAACATACCTTAAGAACCAGCACTCTTAAAAAACATGTACTGGTTGGGTGCTGTTGCTCAAGCCTGTAATCCCATCACTCTGGGAGGCCCAGGCGGGTGGATCCCAAGGTCAAGAGATCGAGACCATCCTGGCCAACATGGTGAAACCCTGTCTCTACTAAAAAATACAAAAATTAGCTGGGCGTGGTGGTGCGTGCCTGTAGTCCCAGCTAGTCGGGAGGTTGAGGCAGGAGAATCGTTTCAACCTGGGAGCTTGCAGTGAAGCAAGATCCCGCCACTGTACTCCAGCCTGGCGAGAGTGAGACTCCCAGTCTCAGAAAAAAAAAGAGAGAAAAACATGTACTGAAGATACATTTAATTTTGCTTCTTCCAAAGACAGAGGAAAAGCCGCCTCTGTTGATAAACCCCAATGAACCACTTAGCAGGGTTCAACAGTCCCCCTGGCCCCAAGAATACATGGTATGCATATATTCTTGGTCCCAAGAATATACAGTCTACATTCCAAAATGGACCCTGAAGAAAAAGTAGGAACTATTTGAGAAAAATTACAAGAGAAAATTGAGAAAAATTTAAACTCCAAGGCTGGCACCAAAGACCTGAGACCTAGGAACATGAGGGTCTATTTTCTTCATGTACACAACAAAGCTACTAACACCTGTTCTAACAAGACTGACATGATGGAAATGGCAAAATATTAACAATTATGCCAGGAGTAACTGCTGAATTGTCGCTTTCTAGCAATTACTTCAGTGCCCAATAAATATCTTCACCAGAAAACTATTCAAGGCTGGCTGTAGTGGCTCAAGCATGTAATTCCAGCACTCTGGGAGGCCAAGATGGGCAGATCACTTGGGCTCAGGAGTTCAAGACCAGCCCGGGCAACATGGACAAACCCTATCATTGCAAAAAATACAAAAAATTATCTGGGCATGGTGGCATACGCCTGTAATTCCAGCTACTCAGGAGGCTGAGGCACGAGAATCACTTGAACTTTGGAGGCAAAGGTCAGGAGCAAGCTGAGATCATGCCACTGCACTCCCACCTGCGTGACAAAGTGAGACCTTGTCTCAAAAACAACAGAACAAAACAAAAACCCCCAAAATTAGCTGGGTGTGGTGGCACATGCCTATGGTCCCAGCTACTTGGGGGGCTGTGGGAGGATTGCTTGAGCCCAGGAGGTCGAGGCTGCAGTGAGCTG